AGGAAAGTAGTGATATGTAGGTAGACCTGATTCCAACTGGAATCTGATGTCTGAAAACAAGGACATGGACAGTGTTCTATCCCTGATTTCAATGATCACTTGATATCTGGTCAACCACTGGGAACAGACACATAAAATCTCAGTATCTATGCAAACACACTTCATTTAGCCTACTTTCCCTTACCAACAACATTAAAGGCTGGTGTAATTTTGTGAACTCGAAATTAACAGCAGTATAAGGAAATAATGAACATTTATTTATCGTTGGGAATAGAATAGAACTCAGCTTGTGTCAGTAAAAAGTTCTTAAACAAACTAAGCTTCCTATATATATTTCGCTTTTATTTATTGCTTTCACAATGAAATAAATATCTTCATACAATGTATTAACTTTGGTTAAAATACTCTTCAAACCTTTCACTTTATTATGCTTGTGTTCTTCATGATGCGAATTGAGATAAATCAAAGACCGATTAAACATCTTATTGCCAGATGGCTGCCTGATATCACAGCTAATAGATATTTGTAAGAGTACTCTTCACACAAGTTTATCAAAAATTCTGTGAATGTGTAAAAGTTAACGCATTATTTATTCAAATAGAGGAAGCTGCTGCTTGGCGTAGTAAAACTGTCGAAAAACTTTTGTTTTCATTTTTCAGGCACATTCTCTCTAAATTCAATCAAACTCAGTGTTCATAATGTTGCACGATGTTCGGAACAACTATGGAATAGATATCTATAAAATTACTTATAATGGTTTATAAAGCCCATTACAGCTTAAAAAGCCATCTAAATTCCACCGACTGATAACAGAAATACGTTAGCACATCATCGGTGCTTGCGATAGAAATTGAAATCGGTGACGCCTTATTTCACAATTTTTTTTCTTTACCTTTATTTATAATGCTCCAAGTTTAAAGCATCGAAGGAGAGCAAACTATTGTTTGAATTATATGAATTTGTGTCATTGATGAAATTCATTTCGAAAAGAATTGAAAACTAGTGGGTACTGGACAGCTGTTTTTTCCCACTCGGGACTCTCAAGTAGTACTCACCTATGACCACAGCAGGGGTCAAACTCAGGATCTCCAGGTTACAAGGCGAACATTCAGCCATTGTGATGGAACCCAACTGCCAAAATTTCTAACTTCCTTAAATTCGCGATAGAGTGCGACCAACGTTATTGGTAAGTATCGGTCCTCACACCCAATTTGGTGGACCCTACTGATCACGACTTATCATTAGAACTCCGATCTTTGCAGGGATTTGACTAATGACTGAGTAGTGTGAAGAGTTCATGAAAAGGACAAAACAGCTGTCCAGTACTCGCTGGTTTTCAGTGATTGTTTGATTGAAGTCAGTTCGTGATCTAATTGAAATTAGCCAAAGAAACACTAGAAATATTTAAAATATTTTTATTTATCTGGTATTACGTGTGAATTTCGCTGAAACTAAAACACCAAACAGATTAGTAACATCCCGTATACACATACTTTTAACAGATCCTTAGGTATTAGTTACACTTCTATCTTAGTTTTATTTTATGTGTTTGGAGAAGCGGTGAAGTCACTAGAACTCTAATATGAAACTTATTCACTTCGAGCATTCAGAAGATTCAGGAAATCTATACACAGACCATAGTGTAGATAGAGGCAGATATATATTGAAGCAGTGACACACAACGCTTTTCTATACACACATTTCTTCACCTGTAGGTTGTGAAATGGATGTTTAAGGTTAACGCTGTTACTCAAATTCATGAGGTCAAATTATAACAACAGAAGGCAAGACACGGAAGCCAAGGTATATTTTCCATTGATCAGACCGCTGTTTATATATACAGTTTATTCTCGTCAACTAATCATTGAGCGTGTGATTTCGGTGTACATCAAACGACATGAAATAGAATGTTCAAACAAACACAGTATTCCTTTGATAATGCAGTATAGAACCGTGGAAAAAGTATTCTGCCTGTAACATCAAAAAGAATGCTCAAATAGATATCTGGTATTGTGTTGGTAATGCCGAAATGAATTGTGGGAATATGTGAAAATAATAATCCGTAGGCACACACTGTCTGTATCATACCACCACAAAAGGACTACATGCCTCAGGTGAGATTTCCTATTGACGTGTCTGGAACTGTCAACTTTCACCTGTGTCTTAAATTTAACTATTCAGCTGATACCTAAACCATTATTCCTCTATAACTCCTTTAAGTCAGACATTCTTGATCGCAATAACGGAAATGTTTTTATTATGGAGACAGTGGTGTTGATGAAAAGCCTCACTTTCACTTTTATCAGTCAATGACAAATATTTCTTAAATTTTTCACAAAACATAAGAAAAACAAATCTGTAAATGACACGAGATGAATAAATCGAACCTGATAATCTGGGATTAAACTAAACACTCCATCATTGACCTTCAATTCTCTTAAGTCCTTATATATAGTTTCTATTGAATATACAGCGAATGAATAAGTCGTTCATTTTCTGCTTAAGAATTATCAAAAAGGTCAGTTCTTTTAGTCACTTAAAGTAGTATATATATTGTCTAAAAAATATCTTCAGTGCTCTTTCGTTTCAACTATGAGATGTTTGTATGTTGTGAAAGGAATCAGTCTATTACAGATGTGATTTTAGTTTTGGTAGTATCCCCAAGAAAAGTCCTACCTGTGATTAAACTAATTTTACTACTCATACATTTATAGTTGGCAACCATATATATATATATATATATATATATATAGTATCCAGTGTTTGTTTAGTAAACGGCCCAGTTTGACCAAATAAAAGAAAGATTGATGATTGAATTTCTTCCTAAAACAGATGCAGAAGACCAACATTACACATTTTTTAAACACCATGAGATGTTTTTATATAAAGATATAGTTTGAATTAATTTAGCTGTCCGAGCGGAGATACACAGTTATTTAGTGTTTGGATCCTTTTTATCTGGTCAGTAAGTAGCAGTATTCGACGTCAGTGATTCCTAGCCATTCATATCAATCTGTGGTATTTGCCATCTTACCATATTTTGATTTCAAGAGAAACTGTGATAAATAAATCTCCACCTCATTTCCTGCAGTTTACAAATGATGAATTTCATTCGATAACTGTGTTCTCAACACTTTTAAAAACTTCAGTTTCGAAAGTGTGAATTACGTAAGAAACTTAATACCCCATATATTTGGTAGTTTCAGTTCATCATAATCACATTAAGATCATCGTATTTCTAACATGTCATGAGGAAGCCCAGTAGTGGATTAAACAGCGCATCTTTCAATGTATATTTGGCTGGTAATCTGTTTTTATTTTCAAAGCAAAGACTAATAATCCTTCTGTTGGACCCAGCATCAATCTAATTAAAGTTTAAATTAATACCTAGTAAACTACCAGGCCACTCCTATTGTAAAGGGTATAGTAATATCTTTCAGTGTTTTCACTACTTTATTATGAAGGTTTTCGTATTTCCCAATAAATGGAGAACAAAACGATATTGTTTTTACTGACGTCTCGCTACTTAATGCTAATAGCTTTATCAAAGTATTATTAAATCTTTAAATATTCCCATTTATAATATTAGAACAAATACCAATGAAGATCACTAAACCAAATAACAAAGGTAATAGTAAATCTGTCATGGTATCAAAACAAAGTTTACTAACTTGATCATCGTTCGTTAGTCTGGGGGCATTTTTCGTTGTCAAATTGGTCAATTGGTAAAGATAAAGTCAAAATCAAGTGTAGATTGTTAGGTTTGATCAGTGTTTAAAATTATAAAGGCAGTGTGTGTTTAAATAGTGAACTTGCATACCACATTCGTGTTGATTTTGTCACTTGATGGGGGAGGGAGGTGTTGTAGCCAGGTCAGATTCTGTTTTAGTTCATCATTCCTATTCAGGCAATTGGGATTCCACTCGATATGAAGTGCTTCTGATATTAGACGTTATTTATGATTTCTGAAGCTTTTCTGGATTATTTCAATATTGTTAAAATCAATTTTGTGACCTGATTCTATAGCATGTAGACCTACGGCTGATGAGTTTTCAAGTTTTTCTAGTTCAATTGGATTTCTCGGTGGTCGAAGAGATGCTCTACGATGTTCATTTCTTCTGATTTTGATTTCTCGAGATGTTTGTCCGATGTATAGCGCATCACATTCCAAGCGAGCATTTTATTTTATAGACACAATTAGATAGAGAATCTTTAGGGGTTGATTATTTTATATGGACAGGGTTGTTTCGTAGTGTGTCTGATGTTTTAAAGAAAACTCTAATGTTGAGCTGATTGAGTACTCTTCTGATATCATCTGACGTCTAAGCTCTGTATAGAATGACGACTGTCGAGGTCCATGTTTTCGGAATGCCTTTTCGGCCATACTTAATGTTTGTGTTGATTTTGTTGATGAAGTTCGTTGGGTAGTTGTTTTGCTTGAGAGTTTCAGTAATGTTTGATATTTCTTCTTCTTTTTCTTTCTCATCCCTTGTCAGAGAGTGTGCTCGTCTTCTTATTTATATCAGTGTCATTGAATACACACACCTCACAAAACGATCTCTCACTCCGTTTAGAAAATGCATTCTATATAAGTACTTAAATGTAGTGTAATATTTGGTAGAACTAACGAAACACTAATCAAACATTAGCCTATTACTCTAACCTTAGGCTAGCTCACTTTCACAAAAATCCCATTGATGCCTTAAGGTTCAGTAATGGAATAGAGTAAAACAGATCGCCCACATGTTACTTCCACTAATGATGTGTGTAAGTGATTACTGTACCCATCAAATAGAAATCCGTAATGCTATTTTTGTTGTAACTATTTTACTTGTCTCTCCTTTCCTTTCATTTCGTCAACACTTTAGGAGCTTTACTTTTGAAACAATGTCACATGAAATGCCATTGTTCAATTCTATCAAGTGATATTTCATTATGTTAATTTGCCATTATGTATACTTAACTATGACTAATTATTTATGTTATTATATCACAATAATATGTCACTAACCCCAACACCTTTGTGGTTTTCTCTGTCTCTAGTTAACATATCTTCTCCAAGTTCAGTTGAAATTGGCTCTTCATTTAATCTGACATGTTCAGTGCGCGTAACCAAAGAACAGTCAGTTAGTATAGCTGTAGACTGGTTCCGGCCAACATATACATTTGAGACGCCGTCAAATCCTCCTATGAATTACAAACTAAACAACATTTTGACCGGAAAATTTGATATACACTCAGATGGCACAGTGGATAGAAATGTTACTAAAAGAATTGGTGAGCTGGCACATTCATTTCAACAGGTAACCAGTAGATCATCAATGGGAATTACTATTTATAAACAAGTAACCGGTGAATTAAATAATTATTATCGCACTGAAGTCCTTCTCACTGTACAGTCAGCTAGAGAAACTGACAGTGGTTTGTATGAATGTAGAGTGTATGAAGCAGCAAATTATGGACAAGAAAATATTGTGGATAGAGCTTTTTTAGATATCATCGGTAAGTTGTTCAACAAAAGTATTTCATTTTTTTGGGTATTCATTAAACAGATTTTTGCGATTATGATAAAATTTTTTATTAAACTGAAAATTTAATGGCTTATTCATACATTTTTTAAAAATTTCTTTGTGTCCCAAGTGGAACACAGGGCTTCAAGCTTCACCTTTGAAGTTTCAGTAGCAGTGGTGTTAATTCTGACGGGATGGGGTTGCTAGATTCATGCCCAACCTTCCCTCTTTACCAGTTTTATTACTGGCTTAACGAGGTAAAGGAATGCGTCGGCTGGGGATAGAACCCCGAAACACATGAGGCGTGGTTGGCGAGCATTCTACCTCTGTGCCACCAACGCACTTTTATTTATACACGTTACTTGTAAAAATATGGTCCATTATAGTCAGAATCTGACTTACATCCATTTTCGAATTCCAGACCGCCTAATTTAACCTGACCGACAGGTGTGGCACACAACCTGATATGTAAAAAAATTTGTTTTCACTAGATGAGTCCTAACTAATTAACATGTGTCGTATGTTGAAAAAAGAACAGTTAATTCAAATCCAACAGTTGCTTTGATTTCTTTCCAGCTAAATGTATTATCTCATTACGCTAATATAAAATCATTAATCAACATTATCTCATACTATCTTATCAATCATAGGTCCGTTTATTTATCTCTATAGTAGAAACACTTTATCATTATTATATAACAATATGCATATGCTTAATGCTATAATGCATTGAAAACTCATCCCACACACCTGAATTAAGTTCATCTGTGTCTTTTCCTAACCAATATTCAGTTTTTATGCAGGATATTCCCTATTCTACCCACACACACCCCACACAACTTATAATTAGGAGTGACTAATTATCAATCTAAAAGCTAATTATCTTTGACAATGCTTTTATTTAAATTAGTTTTATTTTTTATTTGCCAAGACAGTATTTATTCCCTGTGGACACTATGACGTCATGCAGCATAGAAGGGAAACTTATTATTATTTATTGAAAACTTGATTTAACTGCAAAACAAAAGGGAAAAAGGAAGAGGATTTGTTTGAATAACAAAATACCTGACAAAAAATTGCACAGAAATCAATTTATTCGTATATCCTTATGCTTATTAATAAATGAAACTCATGGAAAATGACCCTTAGTAAATTTTACAGAATAATTAATTGTGTTAATAAGTAAAACAACTTGATTTTGTGAATGATAGCTCACCATGTAAAGACATGCATTCTTAATATTCTATACACTGTACATTTATATACGCGAATTCAACAAAGCATTCTACTATACACAAGGTTCATAATGATAGCAATAATGTAAAAAAGTAAAATTAGTTCTTTCAGTCAGGAAATGGTTATTATGTACATGTTATGTATGTGATCCAGTTCCACACTGTTACAGTGCCCTAATCCCATCTGAAAAAGAAACACCTTAAACTACTGGAGTAATGTTAAAGACTCTATAGCTTCAAGCTTATTACATACATTGTTCAGAGCGATCTCCACAAGCAGTAACTTCTCAAACCATCTTACCCTTAAATTCTTTGTAAGAACTGTTCATACAGCCTTTGTTGACGGACAGGTTCCCACGGAAGACAACAGCAAACTTTCATTTCCCACTTAGTCAGACTTTTCTACCGCATACCTATAGTTAAATATAATCTGTCACCTCTCTGGACCGGTATCCCAATTTTTGTCATAGCTTCTATTATAATGTTATTATGTTGTACGCAGTGTCTATTTGATGTCAAACCGTCTGCATTAATTTCGACGCCGATGTATTTTAGACGGTGTAGGTTGTTGATGTGGTCAACAGTTGTAATGGTTAGAAGTTTTTGTACTGGTCGTTGGCTTATAGATTTTGGTCGGTTATTTTGCTTACACTGCTCATGTTTGTGACCAGTGTTATGTAGCGTCGGTATCTATGATGACTGAACGGGCATGATTTCACTTAATACTAAGCGCCACTGCGAATGATGCAATAAATTCAGTGGCGATGGTGCTGAACGAACTGAATGCACTTCTGTTTTGTAATAGCCATCAGACTAGGTGAAGTTCATATCTTCACGAATATTGGTTAACTGCTTATACTGTTCACCGACATGTTTCAAAGTCACTTCTTATTTTTGTTTTACTTGTATACAAACTTCATTGGTTGTATGCTACGCACGAAGTCGACTACTTTGATGATGACTTTTGAATGAAATGTTCACAAGTTAGTTCAAGTTTCCTCAAGAACTTCGGGATATCACCTCTTTCGTTTACCTCCAGCTTCATACGATGGCAATATATATATATATATATATATATATATATATATATAGTCAACGAACTTATAACGGAATGCCTGAACTATCTTACCAAACGTTTTGTCACTAGGCTTCATTGAGACGACTGAATTGAAATGTTTATCTACCTTATTCACTCCTAACTTCAGACGCAAAATTACTCCTTCCTATTTGATACTTAAGAAGTCCTCCCTGAATAAGTCCACAAGTTATGCTTGCATCTGTGTCACAGATAAATTCTGATATTCTGCAGTTGACACTGTCATCTGCAGAAGACCACCGGTCTAAGGACGCTCTCCATTGGTCAGTTAGTGAATTAAACATTTTCAACTGTTGCCCCATCGCCTTCTCCAAGCTTCATGGATCTTAATTCATTCCATTCACGCAGTTAGGTTTGATATTAACAATAAATTCAAACTAACTGTCTACGAATGGTGTGCACCTGACGCAATAAATGGATCCACTTTAGTCGCTAACTGTGGAAAACTTCTGTCAGAACACTGGATTGAAAACAACAGGAAGCTCAGTGAAGATATCTTCCCAGCGATTTCATCCTTAAAAGTTGTACAATCGCATTTTTATACATAATTTCATGTAGTTACAAATTTTATCTAACTCAAGACAGTAACGAATGGCAAATAAATGAGATAATTTTTAACTTTATATGGGAGTTTGGAGGTGCGAATAGGTCACATGAGGCATAGAAACAAATTAAATATGACTTCGAAATAGTTGTATAATATGTAAAGTGGTTGTTAAAGAAAACAGATGTAAACGAGATCTGCACTGAAGTAGATTGAAATAAGTCTTTTTATACAACTGGAAGGGGGCGAAAGTTGAATAAACGACAACTAAGAAGTCATAGAGAACTAGGTTCATGGTAAATTTAGAGGTTGAACTAGTTTCTTTCGAAAAAATAGCTCCGATTTCTCGATGCATATGACAAGGGTTTCTGCAGTACAAAGAAGTCGGAAACACATTGTCTTTGATAGATTTTTGTTAACTTTGTAAATGACTCTAAATGACCAGTGAGTTGAGATAATATGACAGATATCGACGAGATATTCCCAGCTGGACCAGCTTACCCCTTTGCTGCTTTTTTGGGTAGCGTTTTCTAACACGCTGTGAATGGACGCCGTAGAACGACCTATGTACATATTATACATATTATGCAACCGTCTTCTAATCCTATGTGATTTTGATCATTTGCTCCTTCTAATCTATACTCACACTTTTAAACTTTCACATCAAGTTGAAGGTGATTATGTCCTTTAATGTCCCTTCTTTAATATGTTAAATTAAACAGTAATTACAACTACATGAAATTATATTTAAAATGAGGCTTTACAGATTTTGAGGATGAAATCGCTAAAAAGATATCTTTGCTGAGCTTCTTGTTCTTTTCCCTGTAATTCGCATAAAAACAATGTCAGTCACCAATGTAATAACACCACTGCCCTAAAAGTACATGAGAGAGCTTTCGCTGTCTCATCAGTGGCTAACACAGTGACACTCATTTGAAATAAAACAAAGTAATAGTGCTTTATTTTCTATACAACTTCAGACAGATCACCTTTGTTTCACTGTCTGAACATGTGTTAAACAAGAATACTCTCTTAATTTTGATGGAACAAATACTTTCTTTTATTACAGCTTGATTCCACATCGTATTTTTTGGTACAGGTATGGAATCTTCTGCATGTGATATCGGTAGCCCAAATTTGCAGGCCCACCATAGATATCAGGTGTGCGTCGGCAGGGGATCGGACCCCCGACCATGTGCATGGTCGGCGAGAGTCCTAACCTACTTCGTGCTAAAGTCATAACAAGCAAATTACGAATATTTAATTTCAAAACTAAGTTTAAAACAAAACGGATACATTCAGGCTTAATATTAGGTTATGAAGAATGCGCTGTAAAGCACATCATACTAGTAGCTCGTATCTATGAGCTTTGGCATAATAATAAAACACAGAAAGAAGCCTAACTTTTCATCTGATACTGCGGTACGATGTCACCTGACTATCGACTCAGGTGTCCAATCCATCTCCATTTTCGTCTGCACATATATTGAGCAATAGGTTTTCGATTGATTCGTTCTTAGAGTTTCTCGTTGCCAATTCCTTCTGGCCATTTGATCTTGAGTACCTAAGGAACGCAGCTGTTGATGATAGTCTACAGCCTGTTGGGAATGCTTTACGTGACGTTCTCAGTCTCTGAAGCATATCGAAGAGATGACTTAACACTGATGTTGAAAATCCGAATCTTGTTCTTTATGCTGAGTGCATTAGATTTCCAAGCTGTATTAAATCTGTAATTAATCCAAGGAAAACACCTTAAGGTATCACGAATTACACTTATATATACACTTATATACACTTATTCCAGATGCATATGCATACTACATTACTGCTATTGCGTGAATATATTTCCAAGATTCTCTCTAAAAACTAAGCTTTCGGACATCAGTAATACACACCAAGATTCACTAACATGTTCATATTTCGCAAAATTTTCATTCTAAGCTCAGGTGTGTTTTGCAACAGGAACATTAGATAATGTAAGTAAATAAATAAGTGACTTGGCGCCACTTTGAATGTGAAATTAACAGATCACGATAAGCAGTCAAATTTCCTGTCTAGTTATTCTTATCATCTCTGGATAAACATCTGTTTAGGCAATTTTACATAAATGAATAACG